CCGCTCGTCCTCAGCGCCGCCCGCCACGGGCGGCAGCCACAAAAACGGCGCGGCTGTGGCCGGCGGCGTCCGCGCGCGCCGGTGGTACCCCTTGACCCCGCCGCCGGCCGGCTGGCGCCACCCTTGCATCATCTGCCGCTCCCTGGCGCCGATCGGTCTATCCGCGATGGGTGGGGCTCTCGGTATGTGGCGGGGATGGGGGGGGGGGGGGGGGGGGGGGGGGGGGAGCGACGAATTAGTGTTTTTAAACTTGAGTGCGGGGTGCTCGCGAAATGTGTGGAAAGGATCTGATTTTAACCTCGATGTGCCCTACGTCCATCTATCTTCACAAAAGTTAAAGTGGTCGTACCTACCAGCCGCGAGTTCGAACTCCGCTCGAACCGCCGTGGCTTCACACGCGCCCGGCCGACGCCGCAGCCGTCGGCGTCGACGGACCGGGCTATCGACGTCGGCAGGGCGTCGGATCGGCGTGTCGGCTCGCGCCCCGGCCACCGGCTGTAACATAAGCCCGGCGGGGCGGGCTAGGGCGACCTCGCGCCGTTTTTGCCGCAGGTTTTTGCGCCGCGGCCGGCGGCCGCGGCGGGCTTGAGTGTCGGCCTCCGTCGGCGGACGGAGGCAATTTTGGCGTCATCGTTTTTATCTCTTGCAGCGAGGCGTTTTGGAGAGGGCGGCGACTTTTGGATGGGGATTAGCGCTCGGTGGTGGTTTGGGTGGCGTCGGAGAGGCTGCAGGCGTGATTGAAGGCTGACGGAAAGTGGCTGGGTGGGCGCCTGCGAACGGTGATTGGGTGCGGGATCTCTTGTCCAGTTATGTTTCACGCGAGTGAGCTCTGCTCAGCTGCCCATATCGGCTCAAAACAAGCCTGCCCATCGCGGGCGATACGCGTCCCGAACCCTGACCAAGCGTTTTGTGTAAAAAGTGTTTTTCCACGCTCTTCTGCGCGCAATTTTGGTGATTTCGCTTCGATTATTTATGAACTGTGCATGCTTGCGGTCAGTTTAGATGTGCATAACTCCCGCCTATTGCGTGCCAACCATCTGATCTAATTTCCAGAGCCGAGCACGCAATGCTCGTCGGCTGTTGATATCGTGTATCCGACGCCGGTCGCTATTACATCCGAGCAAAACTTCCCGGATAAGGCCGAACTTAAACACACCTGCCTACACGCCAGTGGGTCTTCGTGTTTGACGATTATCAGCACGCATCAATCCGCTATTGATGTGGACTCTTCATGCAAAGAAGACCTGATGCGCCTCCCTGGGGCGCATCGGTGGCTTACCCTCCCCATCCCCCGCACACGCACGCCGCAGGCCCGCATTTCAGTTACCGAAACCGTTGTCATGGTTGCACGTTGGTAATAACGAGCAAATAGGCAATGCGCCTGAAATAAATGACGCCATTGCGAGCATTCATCACGTCGCGGTATTTTGAATTTCTGCGCTGCGTGGAAACGCCTCGCTGGAGTGGTCCAACCCGCAAAAGCGACCCAGGGAGTGTGCCTCTTATTTGGCGTTCGCATGTCGCGTGGCCATATTTTTCGCGGCTTCAGCCCTGTGTTAGTGTCGGTAATCATTGTCGGCCTGCACTGGGCGCTATGTACGCTCTCAGTATTTCTTTTCTAATTCCAAAGGGCC